AGCAGTCTGATTACTTATTGTACTGTGACAATGAGAGTGCGGTGAAACTTGCTAAAAATCCAGTTTATCATGGCAAGACGAAGCACATCGGGATGAGGTATCACTTTGTGAGGGGATTGATCAGTAACAGAACAATCAAGTTGAAGAACATCTCAGGTGCTAAGAATCCAGCAGATATGTTCACCAAGACAGTGGTGCTGGATAAGCTGAAGCTTTGCATAGCTTCAGCTGGTCTCCTGGAATAGTGTTGAGGAGAGGGGCAACTAGGGAGATGTGAAGATCAAGGAAGATTTTTCATTTACAGAAGTACAGAGAGGAGCCGCAGTTTGGTCCAAAGACTCCAAGTGGGAGATTGTTGGTGATGTGTAATCATCGGCCCAAAGTGGCCCACTTGTAGACAACTGAGAATTAGGAGACCAGATTAGGGTTTCGGCCGGCCCAAATGGTTTTAAGCCCAGTTTGCTATAACTTGTCCAGCAAGGGTTAAACCCTAATTAGTTGTCTATATATTTGATCTCCTGTACTTGTAATCATCATCACTCAATAATACAAACCCTAGTTGCCCCTGTGGATGTAGGTCAGATTAGACCGAACCACGTTAAATCTCGTGTTCTCTATTGCTTTCTTGCTTTCTATTCGTGTGTGTGTGCTTTTGTTCTTAACAGGGGCTGCAGACCTGGACGGATTAGAGTGTTACACCAATGGTCCAATTCATTTAGAAGAGATTGAGGGGACATGTAAAGGTTTAATGACTAGTGTTATTACTCCCTCCGTCCAAAAATAATGTCTCCATTTGGCTTTTTGGGGTCAAAAATGAAAACCATTGACCATAACATTCGAAAAGAATATAATGAATAATATTATAAATATACTATCATTTTATTCGTCTTGAATTGAAAATTTAAAAAATCATATTCTTGTTTAAAAAATGTATAAATATAGATATTAATGATAAAAAAGTCATATTGAAGACCGTGAAAAGTGAAATAGGAACATTATTTTGGGCCGAGGGGAGTATTATTTATTATTATTCAGACAATCTTTTATAATGATGACATTATGCTTATCTTCTCACTAAGTTGTTCGATTGTTGTAAATTATCTTACTTAGCTCTTCTTATTGAACCTATTTATGCCTGCATAATTCTCCTAAGATAATACTACCTTTGTCCCGTATTAATGTTCCAGAATTGACCAGACACAATGATTAGGAAAAGTGAAATTGTGTGATTGAAAGTAGTGCAGAAGAGAGAGAAATAATGTAAGCCACAAAAAGTTTGCCCAACATGGAAAATGGAACCTTATTTTGGGTTGGATAAAAAAGGCGTCGTGAAACATTATTACAGGACAGAGGGAGTACAAGACTTGATACTCTCACATCCATGTTTTTTTTGGAACTAAACCACAAATAAACAAAAAACAAAACAAAAGCATCCCCATAGTGTTCCATAGAAATCAAAGAAAGATTGTATGGATATTGTGTTTTTAAACAACTAGCCAATTAATATTGAGATTGTGGAACCTATGAAAAACTTTAATTTGAAATGAATTCAAGTTTATATATTGTTTGTAACCTTTGTTCGTAAAATAAGGCAATTCACAATATTTTGTGGCGATGATCTTAAGCAAACCAACCTAATCTCCTCAAGCTCATCATGACTTGGCAAGCAAAGCATGCCTAGAAGAGTATTCTCATTATAACTAGATCATAAAATAATAATGAATAAAAAAGAACCAGAACATTCAACATGGGCAGCATTTTTAAAGAAGTAAATGCGTAACATTTTTAAATAAAAAAGAGAGAAAGACCAAAGTAGGACTAAAACATTGAAAATAAATAGAACTTCCATGTTTTTATTCTCGAAATAGGATTTAAAATGCATTAACATTACCAAACATGGTCATGTACATAACCAAAAAGTATAGTAATGTACACATGTACAGTGCCACATTACAACCACATTACCATAGTGCAAAGTCCTATTTCGGGTAAAAAAACATGAAAGTCCTATTTTGATACTATTCTCTAGGTTTTAGTCCTATTTAGGGTGATTTCTAAATAAAAAATTGATTAATTCCATACCTGAAGTCATTAAGCAATAGGTAGGCTTTTGGTGTCTTTATCTTCCTTCTTCTAATCTCTCCCCAATCACAAGCATTAGTTATTCCTAAAGGAGTCAAGCAAAGAGGTTTATGTGATTTGTTAAATTTTTATCGACCAACTTTGTGTGGTATCAATGCAAAAACAATTTATGTATAGAATGTCTAGCTTCTCAAGATTTCTTACAAGCAATAAGATTGCAAATTTTGTACAAAGTTATAAACTAACATGGTAAGTACCACATGCATAGTTCTCAAAGTGCAAAAAACGGCGGCACTAGTGGATGGCGGTAGTAGAATCTAAGCAAAATGCCATGGACATGTGGCGGGTTTTCAACAGTAGAGAATGGCATTATTGCACCATGGTTGTGGCAGCAAATGAGATAACTTTTGAAAATGAGAAGTTTGTTGATCACTTGACCCAACTTGTGTAAGTGGGTAATTTGACCCCGCCCCACACATTGTAAATGCTACAGCTACAAGTACATATTTGAACAACAAAAACTATCAAACAAGAGCAAACTTGTGAAGCATGAACCTTCTCTATCTATATGTACGGTTCTACTAATCAAACTTGTGAAGATCATTCATTAAAACTCTCTCATAGTTTCTCATTATTCATCATGTATCCCCAACAAATAGGGATAGTCGAATTTGGTGATAAGATATAACCCTCACCTAAGACACCATTGGAGGGGAGAAGATTTACAGGTTGATGATTCTTTAGCCCCTCGTGGTTGCTCTTTGGTCGGACCAATTGCAGATATCTCACTTTTCACAGCATTGTGAAGCCCGAGCCTAGTAGAACATGAGAGCTTCTAAGATTCGGTGCTTAGTGTTGCAAACTAGCGGTCAATCAAAAACACATCAATTTGTATGTTAAGGACTACTTGTGGATGAAAGTGTATAGACTACTACATGCACTAAATGCCTTAAAGATGCTAGAGGGTAACTTCAAGAGTATTTCAAAGGAAAAAAAATGGATGATAGATATTCAAACTAGGATAGGTGCTGATTTTGAGGATTTAGGATTTGGTGGAAGTACAGAAGAGATGGAATCTGTGATATTTAGCACTTCAAGGAGAAAGAATGCACCTAAAATGGGACAAGTGGGTTTATTTTTGCAGCAATCCAGAAACTGCAATAACAAGTCCAGAGAGGGAGAGAGAGCTGTTAAGATAGGCTAGCAGTAGAGAAGCAATTGCCAAAGAAGCAATGCTTGAGACCCATCAGCACATTGCTCATATTAGGTATCAAATTGGTTTATCCTTCAACTAGATTAAGTTAAATAGCTTTAAAGATATGGTTTATGAGGCTCTGAATATTGGAGAGCCTAAAACATATGCTAGGAAAAGACTAGAAGAAATGGATCCATCAAGCGGTGTTTCATCACATCTGCCAAAACTTCTAAACCTCAAAGGGGAGAGAGTAGGTACTCCCAACTTATTATCACTCACCATTCTGTTAAGACTTTATTTCAATTGTGGTTGTTAACTAGTTTAGAATTATAATGTATGAACGTTATTGATGTTAGTATGAACTAGTTTGCTACATTGTATGTTGTGTGTGTGTCTACGTGATATTTTTATCTAGTCGCCATGCTACTGCCAATTGCCACAATGCAGTGTGCTATATTTAAAAGACAAATTGGCAATTTTTTACTTTCAGGAAGTCATAATTCGCCGCCATCGATAACACCAATGACATGTAGTCAGAGGAAAAGAAATTCAAGTCATTTCTCAAAGTATAGGAGATAAGGTCCAATCTGATCTGTGCCTGCGGGTGGATACAACTCCACTTCTTGGCCCTGTAAAACTGAAAAACATTTTGAAACAACCGTTTCTGAATCCAAATCCTCGTGGTTTGCTAAAAAAGGCACCATTAGATTTCTTCGAATATCTAAGTGTCAATTACAATTTCACAATCAGATGATTGGGTTATTCACGATTGTTAGCTTAAATGCAAACCTATGCTACTAAGGACATGTTCTTTTGGATTGGAATTTCAGAGTTTGATGCTGGAAAAAACTGGAAGGGGTTAGAAAAAACTCTAAGGAGTTGGAAAATTTTGGAAGAATTAAAGTGTTAAAAAGTTACTTAATTAAATGTTCACCCAAACAAATATGTAAGAAAACTCTAATTTTGGATAAAAAAGAATTCATCATTGTCCGTGCTAGTGGTGGTATGCTATCAAATTTGGATACATAATGTTATTGTATTATCATCATATATAAATACCGTCTTTAAGTCGTTGTTGGATGAAACTCGAAGAACTTGGAAGGAACTGGAAGGAGTTGGAAAAAGTTGGAATTTAATTTTTCCAACCGAACAGGACCTAAGTTGCATCGGGACAGGTCCGGTATACAGAAGGGGACAGGGCACATAAACACTTGCTTCTTCAAATGTAACAAAGAATGTGGCCATAGCCACAACCCCAAGTTTCACATAAAGTCCAAATGGATTTGAGATGCGACGCTATATTCATCCCAAAATTTCCATTAATAATTGTTGTGCTTACTCAGACAAAATCACTATAAACGCAAACAAACTAAAGCTTGAACAATTGAAGGTATAGAGATGAAATGAGCATGAAGAAAAAAGGCACTTGTTCAAAGTCATCTTCACCGATTGAGAAACGCAAAACAGAGTTCAATTAAAGAAATTCATCAACAAAAACGAAATGAAAGCTTCATGTGAATACGCATATTGTCGGGAGAAGGAGATTTCATACCAAAACATCTTCCACCTAATCCAGTTCATCGCAATTAATCCCATCTATACTGGATATGATGTCTCAATTCTCAAGGCCCCGAATACGAGTAATCATATCTGCCAATTTAGACCTTTCCCTTTTCATCCTTTAACTTATGAGATTTTTAGATAAGTTCGTTTCCATGTCATTGAAATTCAATATCAAGTTCGAGTTTTATAATATGTTTTGCTTAAAAAATTGATTATTATTACTTCTTATTTTTTCCTGATAAACTTCCCACCTCTGGCCCACTTTGAACATATCTCGCACCCCCATTAATTGCATGCCACAAGATTGTGTTGACTTTGAAGTTAAAATTTGACTCTAAAATCAACTACACCTGGCAAAAAATAACTTGACTTTGTTTTTTACCCGACTTGTTTTTTACCTGACCCGAAACTACTAGGTTTTGAATAAAGATTTTGCTGACCAAATTCGAAATTATCTGATCCCGAAATTACCCGTTAAAAATGGGTCAAACCCGACCGAACCCGAACTCGACCTGACTCACCCGCTAATGTAAGAATTTTTCAAAATTATATGTTTTAATATGTAATATAATGATATAAAAATAAAATTTTAATTATATTTCTTTATTTACTCCTCGTTTTTAATGTACAAATTTATATTTTCATTCAAAATTTTAATGATATCGCATAACTATATTGCTTTTTTTCAAATTTTTTGCATATTTAGTTTTTTTTATTTGTAATATTATCAATTGGTCATAAAAATTACTTGAAATTTCAAAAAAAATAAATGAAAGTCATAACCCGTTGGGTCGACCCAAACCCAATGACATTGAGTCTTGAACATGTAGCTTTCAACCCGGACCCAAGCTTACCCAAACCCAAAGTAACTTGAACACAAGGTGATCGAACCCGAACCCGATCCGACCGACCGCTTTGCCAACTCTAAAATCAACTAAATCTTGTGGCATGCAATTGACGGGGGTGCGGGGGTATGTTCGAGCCGGGCCGGGGATGGGAGTTTACCGGGAGGGTTAGGAAATATAGGAATCATCAATTTTTCGAACGGAGCATCGTAAATGCCCTAATTGGGGCCCATGTCACAAGATGAGATGAGGGTGTTACATATAGTCCCTCAACTTAGATCTTTAGAACCATTTTGACATGTTGCATCTCACTTGGCCATGAAGCCCTTTTCAGACATGTATGTAGAACTTGTCAAGCGTCATACTCCGCGCAGTGCATTTTAATTGCGCTTTTCAGCGCCAACTCATCACTAGCAACATTAGGGAACTAGTGGAACACTCTTTGTTAGCATTTGGCAAAGCATATAACTTTCATGTTCATGTCCCAAAACTTGGAACTGACATAAGAAAGAGTCAGTATGGCAATTGTTGAATTGAAGTAATTTATGAAATTGCTTTGTCACATAATTCCAAAAGGTATAGGCCATTGAGTGTTGCATGCATATCAATTTAAAAATATATCGGAAATTTAAATTTTAAAATTAAATAATTATGTCAAAAAATAATGGGTTTATTGAAAAAACAAATTTCTCTTATTGGCTATTGGAAGATGTTAAGCCAAGCCCTCGCCAACACAACCTCCTCTTTAGGTATTCATGGTTAGTTGACACTCTTTATTCTTGGGTCACCTTGAGCTCTTTTCTCTCTTTGCCTCGATTTGACTCCTCGAGTGGTGTTTCATGTGCAACTTCATCAATACAATTGAAGTTGCCCACAGATGATGGTACGGTTTACGGTTTATATAGTTTAAGCAATTGTGGCGGCAAGTAGTACGGTTGGTACGATTGTGACAATTTTGACTACATTTAGCACTCACCAAAATCATTGGATGGGTAGAACACAAAGCTCGTCGGTGTCGGAAAATGCGGCTAGTTTGGTCGATTTGGGTTCATTGTGATGGTAAACATAGAAAATTAGTAGTGAAAATGGATGAATTACAATAAGATGAGTAAATTGAATTTAAATTATGTGAATTGACCTATGTTGTATTGCATAACATGTATGACTACATGAAAAATGATATGACTTATGTTGTACGGTATCATGACTTGAATCATATTTTGCTAAGTTGTATCTTGCTTAAATGATATCATATGATAAATTGTGAATTGTGAACTCATCTATGTGTATATTCACGCATTAGACATTCTCACTTAGCTTGCTAAACATGTAGTGTGTTTATTTGCAACTCAGCGGTAATTAAGATAAGAATGAATCTAGAGAGGATTCCGAAGAGAAACGAGGATGAAGAGATGTTCGAATGCATAATCGATGATTTTGGTTTACTAATTAATTCTAGTTGAACTTGTAATGCTTCTGGGGACAAACCCAAGCTTGTGTTTGGAATTTTTAATTTAGCTTTTGTACTATTTTGACATAATTTTGATGACGCTTTTAAACAAAATAGTTATAGATTAAACGTGTTCCTGATTTTATCGATTCCATTTTTAATTAACATGACAATGTAAGAAGGTTCATATAAATTGTATGAACCTAAATTCCATCTTAAAAACTTCCTTGAATATATTACAATTATTAAATCTAGAAAATAACAAAGGAATTTAACTAGTGTCCCATTAAGAAGTTTCTACATTTTTGACAATTTGTGTCTCTTTGAAGAAGTCTTGGTTTCCCAAAGAGACTTTAACATAAAAAAGAGTAGAAATGGGAATGAAGCACACTATGCAATTCCATTTTGGCCCTTGGCTTTAGTGTCAAACCCCATTTCCACAGAATGGTCACCGGTGGCTTTCTTGTCTTTTCCTTTGTTATCACGATATATTGTGTACAAGATCAGTTGCACCATTCCCAGCAGTGATCCAACACCATTTGGTACCTGTGTGTTAGTCACATTACAAATGTATAAAACTTGATCAGTGCATCTAAAAAATGTATAAAACTTGATTAGTGCATCTAATTACCAAGTTTGCCTTCATCTAGTTTAAGAAATATGTTTAATTATTGAAATTTTCGTTCTAAAAAGCCTTTTCACATATTGGTATTTAAGGTAAATGTAAATTGTGTGCTATTTTATAATTTTACCATTATTTTGTGGTAAGCCGGAATGTGATGCGATGAACAGATTAATAATAATAAATGTGTGTGATGTGATAAGTAGGAATAAATATGTGATTTTTATTGAAAGATAGAAGTTTTTTTGTGACGTACAGATGAAAAAGAAAAGATAAAATATTTTATGGCCGGGATGAATGAAGCGTTTATTAAGCAACCATCAATTTATGTCTATGATTTAATTTGACATCACGGTTCTTTTGATATTAGATTTCAATGTTAAATTAGTTCTATTTAAATTCTAACTTCTTTCCACTTTAAAGCGATTCATACATCCTAATCATCGTCAAATCGGCCCAGGTACCCCATCCCAGCCCCCCTAGTGCTTTCCTCTTTAGTTCTTTAGGGGACAATCTTTTATTAAAAAATTGTTATTTTAAAATTTTACCCAATATATTGGATTATTTATTTAAAAATAACATTAATGCTAATTAGTGCTAATTATTAAAGGTAGGTAATAATTAAGGTAATACTCGGTAACTTACCGCTATGAAAGGGTCCTTGCCAAGAAGTCCATAGATGAACCACGAAGTGCCACATAGGAATACAAACAAGGACAAGAAGAATGGCATGAACTCCACGCTCTTTGTTTTAATCACCGTCCTCTGCATTTAATTATAAAAATAAAATCTTGAAATTGATTTTAATTAATCATAATTAAGATACTTTAGTCACATTATCACAAAAAAAATATATTTAATAGATTACTTTGTTTAACTCAAATCTTTTTAAACTAAAGTTATAGAAAGAATAATATGTAGGCAACAATTTGTTTTTACAACTCAGGTTCTTTTGATAATATACATCAATGTCATAATATGACACTAGGTTATTTTGATGTTATTACGATGCTCTGAAGTGGTTCCTATCTCGTAATATGGGGAAAACATCTAAACATCTAAATACGAAGTAAGATAAAAACATAACAAAGAAAAGAGTATCAAGCATTCTTGTTTTTATTTTCAAAACAAGACATATAATGACAATAATGTCAATATATAAAACCAAAAAACACTATGAAATGTAAATATGGTGTCAAAACTTTGTCAATTATTGCAACGCAATGGTCTTGATTTGAAAATAAAAACTTAAGCTTTTTTTTGAAAATAAGACATATGTCTTAGTCTTAAGAGAGTAGATATTATATCCCGAGACGGTTCCCATTACATTGTCCGGCAATGTCATGGAATGACCCGAAACACTTTAGTGTCCAGTTTATAAAATTGACGATTTCTATCCCTTCTAATCCTCCGATCCTGGTAAACCCCCCACACCACCATTGTATCCCATAAACACTCATCTAGCCATCTTGTGAGTCCTAAAATTCTAATTTGTGTTGACATTTTGGTGAAAATTATTGACTAAAATGTCAACCAAAATTAAGGTGCGATGAGAGACGGGCTGAGTTACGAATTTAAAGGGTAAGAACTTGGGTGCCTCAAATTAACCAATGTCATTTAGTGTCAAAAAATCATTCTCCTTTAACAAATAAAAAAGGGAAAAAAAGAAGAAGAATGTTGCGTTTGCAATCAGCGTTAAAGATTAGCGTTAGTATTTTGAAAAAAAAGATCTAAAAGCAGCTTTTAGCGTTGGTATTTTTCAAAACTAATCTACATCATTAAAATTTAACACGAAACGCTAACAGTAATAAAAAACGATTTTCCCAAACAAGGTCGCCAAAGTATGAAGGGTAAGTAGTATAGGGTGCGTACCATGATAGATAGCGGGGAGCCGTACATGATGATGGAGAAGATGGCGGCGGCGAAGCCGCAAAGGAGCTTCCGGGCATTGTGGTGGAGGGCAAGCAGAGACACCAATGCCACGGCGGCGAAAATGGCCAGCACCACCGACAAGAGGCCGGAGATTTTGGCCTTTTCCCTCTTGGGTGCATAGATGAGGAAAATAAGGACATATATCGCTTCGAGCCCAGCGCCTGTGCCGTTGATGATGGACACCAATATGTTGTTGGGGGATATAAACGGCAGTCCATACCTTTTTTTTCCCATCATATATGGAAAAGGTGCCCA